CTTTCAAGGTATGGACAAGATACTTATTACTGTTTCTGTTTTTGTTTTAAGATTTATTTATCTATATAAGAACTGGGGTACAGGCCACAGGCGCGGGAGGGTGAGAGAATTCACCAGAGACAGAGCGGAGAACAGAACAGGCAGATGGTCCAAAGACACTGCTGAGGGGAGCAGCGCCATATGGATTTCTCCCTGGCAGGCCAGGGATCAAACCGGCACTGCAGAGGCTGCGGACTGCTTCACAGCGCTGTGCTCAACCCACTGCACCACCGGGGAGGCCCCTTATTACTGTTTTGGGTGTTGAGTTCTTTAACCTGTAAAATTGGGAGGCTGAATCCAATGACCTTTAAAGTCCTTTTAGCTCTGAATTTCTGTAACTGGCTCTTACTGTAGAGAGGATACAGCAAGCTCTGGCACAGAAAAACCTGCATTTTAGCACCAGCAATTCTGACCTACCAGAGACTTAACGGGCGATTATTGTCTCTGAACTTCTGTGACCTGACCTTTAAAATGGGAAAAAGAACATCTGCTCAGACTTCCTTACTGAATGTTGTGGAACCTGCAATTTTTCTTTCCCTGTGGAAATCATTACTCGAATCTGAACTTCTTGAAGACGAGGGCTGTGTCATCCTTGCCTTCCTCCACACCCAATGTCACTAGATGCATAGCACATGTTTGCAGAATCAAATGAACTGAAGAAATAGTTACATGAAACTGCTTAGAGAAAAATGGTAGAATTCATATTCCGAGTAAAGGTAATCTACCTTTTTAGAACTGAAAAAAAAACTGCAGGGAACAGAGGGAATTTTCACTTACACACTGTGTGTGCCCATGTAAGTAAAGTCAACCTGCAGAAATGTCTTGTCATTCACTGGTGTGTTAGGGTTCTCCAAAGAAACCAAGAATCAATAGAATGTCTAGAGATATTTATAAGAGTATTTGTTGTAGGAATTGGCTCACATGGTTATACTATAAAACTAAGCCATCCACAAGCTGAAGAACCAAAAAAAGGTATAATTCTGATTCAGGTCAAAGGTCTATGAATCGGGGAGTCAAACTCCCAGTTCCAGGTGAAAGGCCCAAGAATTAAGCTCCAGTGTCCCAGAGTAGAAGATGGACATCCGTACTCATGTGGCAAATTTGCCCTTCTTTCCCTGTTTTCTTTCTATTCTGGCTCCCAGGGGATTGGATGTTGCCCATCTGCAATGGTGAGGGTGGCTCTCTTCACGTAGCCTAGCGATTGAATTGCTAATCTCCAGTGTCCCTTTACTTCCTTCATATTCCACCTGAGTGAAAGCCAGTATTTTTCTTTATCCTTTTTATTTCATTTAGTATAATCCCACGCCAGTTCCATCCATGTTGTCACAAATATGAAAGTCAACTCACTTTTAATTAACATTCATGTGGAATGCCTACTAGTTTTTTTTAATATTTTATATAATTCTTACATCGTTTTTCATTTTTGCACAATGTATGCATTGTTTTGGTTATATTCCCCATACAGTTGCACCCCCCCCTTATTTTGACCCTAGTCGTTCCTCTCCCCTTCCCTCCCCCACCCCCGTAGTGTGTCTCTGGTTTATAGTTGCTTGTTGATTTCGATTTTTACTTTGTATTGATTAGTCTTATTCCTGGTCCCTTATTTAGGTTTTCTAAATTCCTACTAGCTTTTAAAGCCCTCTTAGACCCGCCCTCTGCTGGCCTCTAAATTAGTACTTGATGGAAGCTGCTGCCTTTCCATTCTCACCACTGCCTATAAAGGATTCCTTTTTTCAATTCTACACTATACTTTTTCATTTTTCATTAAATTTATACTTTCAGTTTCTGGCTGGGACATAGATGTTCAATAATATGCTTGATGGTCCAGTAGAAGGAAGAAAGAGTAAAAGAAGAAAAGGAAAGAGAAGGAATGAAAAGGGAAAGTGTGGAGACTGTGAGTATTAATTAGAAAATACACAGGACTGAGAAAGCAGGGCAGTGTCTTTATTCATATTTTATGCGAATTCTGGAAACCCTTAGAAATGAATACACTGTCTAGATAAGCTCAGTAAAAACAATTCAAAATAAAGATAGTTAAGAGAAATTTCAGACCTAGAAAATATGATTGAAAAGTATTAAACAATCCTCTTTAATACTAAACCTAATACTTTCTCCAGAGTTCAGTGACTATTAAAACCACTTGAATTTTTTGCAAAGGCCTATCCTAGGACATAAAATTCCATCTAGTGTATTAATATGTTAACATTTGTGGTCACTGTTAATACGTATTAGTTTAGGGTGAATTCTCCTGGCCCCCCAGTAAATAGTTAACTCTAGTAGTGTGTGAGATAAGAACACTGTGGAGAGGGCCTCCCCAGTGGCGCAGCGGTAGAGCGCTGGGTTGCGAAGCTGCCCGCAGCCTCTGCGGCGCCGGTTCGATCCCCGGCTGCTCCCCGGCCACCAGAGGAGGGTTCCACATGGTGCGCAGACCTCTCCTGCCGCCCACTGCTCCCCTCAGCAGTGTACTTCGTTCCTTCTGCCTGCTCTGCTCCCCGCTCTGGCTCTGGTGAATTCTCTCACCCTCCCGCGCTTCTGACTGTACCCAGTGCATGTATAAACAAAAAACAAACAAACAAACAAATAAATAAATAAATAAATAAAACATGCCTCTTAAAAAAAAAAAAAAAAAGTGTGGAGAAACTGCCCTGGTTTCCAGCTCTGAATATGACCTCATAGCAGTATAAGCTTAAGCTTCTAAGAGCTTGTTCCAATCTGTTAAAAAAGAGGAAGGCGCTATCTATACTGCTGACCTCAGGTTGTGAGAATCATGAGGAATCTGAAAACACCTTGGAAAACAGGACAAATAGCAGTATGACATGTGGTCATCTCCTCACGTTTTTTTAACCTGATCCTAAAGATTCTGAGGGTCATAGAGGCAAAAAGCTTCAGGCTTGTGCCATCACTTACTGAGGTCACTTGAATTTGTGGACCCTCTTCTATACCCCTGCCCCAGGTCTGGAATGCTGGCCCCTCTTGCAAGTGGCAGCTGAATGGGTATCACCAGGATCTCCCCAGTAGGAGAGAGAACCATTAGAGCAGCAGTCAACCCAGTGGTGAGGGGAGTCAGGGTAGGAAACAAAGGCCAAGGTGTTGTCGTCTTTTAAATATATAAAAACTTTGAGGGACTTTTTAATTGTTCAACTTCATAGCAGGATAAATTCCAATTCTAACTTTATGGCCTATTTTTTAACGTTTTCCTTTGACATAAACAGCATTCACACAATCGGAATGGAAAATGGTACCCCAAGGGCGGGAAGCCATACCACACCGCCACCGCTTTCTCAGTGCTGTGCTGGTGTGACCGTGTGCAGAACTGGGAGAGCCATTCTGTAGCTGCTTCCAGTGAGTCCAGAATTAGAAAAGCATGAAAGAGGTTAGTGCAGTTGTTGCATCATTTCAAATTCACCCTCCAACACAACAAAGAAGGGATTGTACACGAAGCTTTTGTACAGCTTGCTGAGTGCTGGGAAGCCTGTGGGCCAGAGGCGGGGTTGTATAATTTGTTTTTTAAAAAACATAAAAGGTGGTTCTATGTGGGTATCACAATTTCCCAGCAGATCAGACTCCTCTGAGCCAAATTCAGTGTGCACCTACTGTTCAGGCCATCATCCTGTGGATGGCAACTCTGACAGCCTGGTGGAGGCCAGCAGCTCCTCAGTCCTCCCCAGTCTTCCCATGAATTGCTCACGCTCTCTCTCTCTCTCTCTCTCTCTCTCTCTCTCTCTCTCTCTCTCTCTCTCTCTCTCTCTCTCTCTCTCTCTCTCTCTCACACACACACACACACACACACACACACGGTGGTCAAGGCTGAGGCAGTTTGCAGAGCTCTTCACGGACCTGGCATGCCTGGTCCTGCCAGGAGCACAGCGCTGTTGAAAGCACAATGCCACAGAACAGCTTCCAGGAGAGCTGCCAGGGAGCATTCACAATTACGAAACAACCACCTTGTTGTTCGTGATCACATTTAAATGTCTTCAAACCTCCATGCCTCTCCAACAGAAACATCCATTTTTAAGCAAATTTGATTCATCTGATTTGATTCTCTTAAAGGATGATATGGTCAAATTTGATTATTTCTCAAATTATAAATGTTTCCAATATTAAACCTTTCTGGCCTTTTCTATATAATTATCCAGTAGTATCCTCTTCTTAAACCTGTCTTTATCCTCCCCTTGTTTTTCCACTAGGGAGGGTATATAATCTACATTCAAAGCATGTTTTGAAATTTCCCTTTCTTGGCACTGCTCAGAATAAATATTGACCTGGATTTCAGGTCTTCCCAAGTCATCTGTAAAAAAGAAATGGTTCATATATGTAATTAGGAGCTTCATCTTCATGTAAGATGAATAGAATTTGGTTTTAGTTCTTTTACTTCATGTGATTATCAAATACCCATCTTTGAAGGTCAGTACTTTTGCCACAGGCTCCCCTTATTTTTTTTAAAGATTTATTTATGCATACAAGAGCTGGGGTACAGGCCAGAGATGCGGGGGTTGAGAGGATCCACCAGAGACAGAGTGCAGAACAGAACAGGCAGATTGACTGAAATACACTGCTGAGGGGAGCAGTGGGCGAGAGAGGAGAGGTCTGCTGCACCATGTGGGTTGCTCCCTGGCAAGACTGGGGATCGAACTTGTGCTGCAATGCCTGCAGATTGCTTCATAGTGCAGTGCTTAATCCCTTGCACCACCAGGGATGCCTACTCCCCTTATTTTTTAAAATGGCTTTCTTTGTAATATTTCCTCTATGACAAATTCCAAAAGGTACTAAATGTGCTTCTGTCATCCTGGAGCAGCACTACACTCAGAGCTGGGGGGTGACCAGGAGCTGTGGCAGATACACCGTCACGCCAAGCATTATGCCCTCAGCTCCAGGGTCTCCACAACTTGGCTCTTTGCTGGAAGTTGTTTCTACTTAAAGTACTTGAAACACTGGATATTAAAATACATGATAGGCACAACTGAAAATACCACAAATTTGTTCTGATATATGATAAACTTTTATTTATATAACAAAGCGAAAACCAATATTCACTTAAAGCTGCCTAATCCATATTTTCAGTAGTGAAGGCGTTTAATTTACTATCCACCTTTCAAAGACTTCAAATAAAATACAGCTAGGAAAACACACAAGTCAGATTATAAAACTCTCCAGGCAATTAATGGTCATAATACTAGAAATATAGCTTAATGACAATTTTCTAGGAGCCCTAACTGTAGTTTTACTTGGAAGTCTAGCTACTCAGTATCAAATTTGCACATTAAGTTGTAATAAGTAATTGTAAGTAAACAGTATTCAAACTGTATAACTCTTAAAAATTAACCTGAAGTTAATTATGCGCTGCAAAAAGTTGCTATTACTCTTCCAGTTCTCCCAAAAGCTCCACAAAGTCAGTGATGTACCAGTCAGCGTTGTCCTTCACCTGCTGCCTGATCACATTTCCACCAAAGCCAATGAAGACATCCTAAGAAAGAGCCAAAGAGAAGGAAATCGTTTTTTAAAAAGTCACAGCAACCACCTAGGACAAAGAGTGATGTCTGAAAGAAGCAACTGTTTATGCAAAGAAAGGTAAAACCGAGCCTCACCTAGACTGCTCCCAAGTTCCCCTGAGCCTCCTCCTGAGTAAGTTTAACAATGCTGCAGAACCATGGTCCCTGTCCTCTTAAACCAAGACAAATTGCTTACCAAAAAAGAAAAAGAAAATCCCACAAGGTGGTGACTGTTCTAGACTGGATGGTAATCTCATCCAGGCCAGGCAACTTCAGAAACCAAGGAGGAGGCTACAGCAAGTAGAAATCCCAAGTCCAGATCAGGACTGGAGCTGGCATCTCCCCGTCCAGCACCCTAAATGACCCCGAGGGGCCTCCCTTCCAGGGTGGGGTATTATTCTGGGCCAAAGGAGACAATACCCCAGCATCTGTGGGTAGCTCTCTACTTACTTTCCCTTATTAAAATCGATTAAAGGAACATTATTTCATCAGTTTCTACTAACACATGATCTTTTGAAATGGCATTTTCCTTTTTCCTCCAGGCCATAGACACCATGTACGCTAATTTGGAAATACAAAATTCTCTTACTTGCTCTATCTCTTCATTTTAATTTTCATGCCACACAAGGGAGAAAAAAACAAGTCTTACCTTCTGGTTACACTTAACCGCCTAACTGATCTTCCTGCCTGTGAGGCAGCCCTCTGCACGCCAGCACCGTCAGCTGTCCTAACCCGCTGACTCACTCCTTCTCTGACAGAAGCCTTCCAGGGCTTCCCGGAACGAAAGATAATAGCCTGGCATGTGGGGTCTACAGAGGTTACTTCTGCCCAGGCCAGGACTGTGCCCAGTACATCCCTACTCTTCTCTGCTGCCTCCCCTCCCTCAGGAGGCTTCTTGCCCTAAAGCCAGACCTTGGTGTGGTAGCTGCTAACCTTCCTTTAGGCCAGATTCCTCTGACCACCTCTGAGGGCTACACACCTGTATGTGTGCCGCTTTCTCTTGGTTAAGTCAGGGCTGTGTCATCTGCTGACTAGTAGGGTCACCTGGAATTTATAACTGCCATTTCTCTGTGCTAGGACTGAGCACTCCCCCAGAGAACTCCATACTTCTGTGTATTTCTCATAAACTAGGCCACTGTTCAACCACAAGTTGGTTGTAAATCATGTTAGGACATGTTATCATGAACTGACTCAAGTAATGTCAAAAGGATCCCAAAAAATTCTTTAACCAATTTTGATTAATCATTTACAAAGACAGCTACTATTTTTAGATCTTTGTAAACTGAGTAGTAAAGAGCTTACCACTATAATTTCAGCACATTTTTCTTAAGTAGAATAAAACAATAAAGGCAAAGTCCTACATGAAATGGACATATTTGCTCGATAGAACATTTGCTATACAGAACTTGTTTCTTGCTAGTCTCAGAAAATAACATTAATTCAAAGGAAAACAAATGCTTTCAGATGAGCACATTGTCAAACTCCACTAGCCTCAGTCCCCAATCAGTAAAAAAGAGAAGACTTTATTTACCTCACACAGTTGTTATGAGGTTTAAACGAGTTAATGTAGGAGGAAATGGTTTACCAAATATAAAAGGACAATAAAATGTTGCTTAAGGTTATAAGAGCTGCATTATTATCTGTGGTATTTGGAGAGGTGAGTTCAAACCTTGTTGAACATACACTTTGGGCTAAGAGGTGGCAACCATGCTCGGGGACAAGGGGTCATTCAGTTTGAAAGGTTTTTAATTCACTAAAAATTCACAATCCTCTATGGGCTGGCAAAAAGTCAGTTGACATACTGAGATTCGATTTGTTTTAGTTTTGTTTTTTTTTTTTTTTTAATGATACTTAGATGTTTCTGCCTAACTTTCAGAAGCCTTACTGTGTTTGAAATCAGTTAAACTGAAACACAACCAGGACGCTCCATACGTACAGCAGGAGGACAAGCTTCCATGTCCGTGGCTCCATCTCCAATCATGACTATTTTCTTAAAATGAAATTTTTCCTTTAAAAACTTAATAACTTTTCCTTTCCCACCAGATTCAGCTGTGGGCTGCATCTCATCAAAACCTGCATATTCACCTGCAAAGAGCAATCAAACAGTATTAGGAGGCACAGGATTGAACCGGTAGGACCATCTTTTTACATAAATCACATCCTCACTTACCTGTCGCTGACAAGGCTAAAAACTGACCCTCGGTAGAGAGACAGCGCCTGGACTTTCATACTTATTCCTCAGAATAAACAGGCTTTGCTTTTAAATTCCAAATACCTCTTGTCAGGTTACTCTTTTTAGGTCATAAACACCTTGAGGTAAATTAGTTTTGTTTTCTAAGCTTCCTACAGAGTAATTCTCAAACCATGTTGTGGTGGCTAAACACCATGAAATAGCAATATATTAAATTTAAAGTTAAAATATAATTTCATCTAAAAAAGGAGATTCCAAATCACATTTGATCAATTATTTCCATTCTTAAAATGACCACATGCATTCTCTACTTATTTTTCTAATGCACCCTTCAAAAGTTTTTCCTAACACATTTAAAACTTTAAGATGATTGGGTTTTAAGAATATCAGCCACCTATTGACTAACAGGAAACATCTTGAGATGACAGAAACTACAGCTGTGACTTTGTGATGGTCCAGAGAGGGGCCACAATTATCTGTAACAGCAGCTACAATGCAGTGAGCTGCTGCCAAATTAACTGTCCTTCCTGAGTCTAAATTGACTCAAATACAAGCTCTCATAAAATGGAAGTACAATACATGATAGAGTAAGTCATGTGGGTTACATGGGAATTAATATTTTCTTACGTGGATGGCTATATGGATACTAGAGCTAGGACAGAGGACGATCTCAGCCTGTCTTTCGGAGCAAAGGACAGCAAGGAGCAAAAGTCAAAAGAATCATTTATCTCAACATTAAACTCAATATTTAACACTTTGCTTAAGCTGCATTCCAAGCTGCATTCAGACATCACCCAGAATACTGCAAACTAAGATTGACAAGAGGAGAAATGTAACCATTAAAGCATTACCATTAAAGTAGAATTTCAGCCTGTTTGCAAATACATTGGTTGATGGGATATTGAGCTTTGAATCAACATGCTCCACGATGCTCCTAAAGCCACCAGATATCAAGAAAACCTGAACATTTCGCTCCTGTAGGCGACTTACAAGCTCCCTGAAAAAAAGAAATATAAAATACCAAACACTGATAGAAAAGAGAAAACATGAAACACAAAAAGGAAACTAAAACATATTTTTTCTCCTGAATGTGTTTGCCCAAGGCACAATGAGCAAGGTATATTGCCTGGTGAATTAACATTTTGTGTTTTTCTAAATGCACCTAGCAGTGAAGGGGTGGGGCCTGTTTTAGGAGACCATTCCACAGCTCCCTTCCGCGCATGGGCCCAGAAAGACAACATGAAGAGGCTCAGGCTCCCCCTGGAGGGGAGGCATACATGGGAAGAGACCCAACCAGCCAGATGAGACTGTTCCCCAGTGCTGACAGCGCCGCACAGAAAGGAGCGCTAACATTATGGGGAGATACTCAGGAGGGTGTGCCCTAGGACACAGGGCTGAAAGGGAGACTATATCCAGACCCGGGCTCCACTTACCTTATGCCTGGGGTCAGGTGTGGTGGGTGCTCTGCTATGAGCCTTTGCACCTGCTCCCTGGAGGGCTGGATCAGAGCTAAGCGCTCTGTGAGCGCCGCCTTGAAAGGCACTGCCCCGCCCATGGCGCGCCGCGTCCTAGGAGGAAGACCCAACAATCAGTCCAGCCAAGTCAGGTATCTTCGAAGTTTAGCCGCCAAACCAGCTCCTTGGCATCCACCCAGGAGAAGGTGCTAAGGTCCCAGTGTGCAACAGACATGCTATGATACCATGGGAGCGAGGTCTGGGATGCACTACTGAAGGATGTTTAAGACCCACACTAATACTCTGGAGTTGAGTCCTTCCCAGCCACAAATGCACCATCCAGTGATCTCTGAAAACCACACATACTACCCACAGGACTTTCCTCGGAAGCCATAAGCTTTTGCTCAAATGCCAGGTACTCTTGTATCAAATGCAGCTGAACCTGAAAATGGCCCATAACCTGGTGACAGCAGGAGACCCTAAGATGGGGGGCAGGGGAAGTGCAATCACCCAGCCATCCACTGAGAGCTGAAAGGCTCTGATCCAAAACTGGCTGCCAGCAAAGCACTAAGGCCATAGCCATAAAACAAGGCCGTGAGCTCTAGGACACGCCCTCACAGTCTTCTCTGGTTGGTTATGGTTGCTGTTCCCAACCAAGCTAATAAGACCAAGTCTTATCCACATTTGCTTGTCAGAGGCAACTTATTTTTTGCCATAGATGTTTGCATAAATGAATGACTGGCTATCATATGCTATTAAATTCAGCTCTTGGGGATGGAATAAAAATCTGGTACCCATGTTTCATAGCCAAGGACTAAAATCTGGGAATTATGACTCTGATCCAGCACAACATCAAAAGCCACTCCCTTCTGCAATCCTTTATCAATCCATAAAGCGATAAATGCTGTTCCTACATTTCTGACACGGCATCCTCAACTCCACAGAATTTGGCCAGTTCATCAATTCCTTCTTCTCTGATGACTGTGCTGTCAACATCAAAGCACACTGCATCAGCTGAACAGAAAAGTTTCCTCAACTCTGAGTGGGAGACCATCCTTGGAAGAATTTTCCTCCTACAATAGAAAAAGATAAATATATTTAAAGATATAAAATATAATCATAAAAAGAACCAATTTTGCTACTAATGCCAGTCAACATATTTCTGTTTCTATCAGTGAGTGTAGCCTATGTAAGCATCTTCTTATAAACTCATTTTTTTTTTAACAAAAACTAAGCACATTCTAAATTCTAACCCTGAGGTTACATAGATGAGCAGGACCCAAACTCTGCTTTTAGGAACTTGGCTGAGTGAAATACCAACTTGTAAATATATTTGATATTCAGCTATCTTTGACCCAGCCATTACAGCAATAAGGCAAGTATTAAAATGGAAATGTGCATAAGGTAACATGGGTACACAGAGGAAAAGTTCGACTTAGCTTATGAAATAAAGGCTTCTAGGAAGCATGGTATTTGAGCTGAATCTTGATGAGTAAGTAGGCCTAAGAGTGGGTTCTCAAAGGACAGGGTATCAATTCTGTGTGTGCTAGGGACATGAGGGAGGGAGATGAATGCAAGAAGAGAGGATAGTGATGATAAAGGGAAGGAGAAAGAATGATGGACAGCCAGGTGGAAGTTACCCAGTGGTTCAGTCCAGCTTGCCAGGTTGTACGTGAGGAGCTCAGACACATGACATTTAAAATTCAGGATTCAGAAATAAAGTTCCATTGGCACATGGCCATGTTCATTTGTTCACATGTTTACAGCTGCTTTCATGCGATAACAGAGGAATTAAATAGTCACAGCAGAGACAGTATAGCCTGCAAAGCTTAAAATATTTACTATCTGGCCCGTCACAGAAAAAAATCACTGATCACAGACTCTTGTCTTTAGTCCTTAGGAGAAAGTACTCCAGATAAGAAACATGAGTTTCACTAGAAATCCACCGTGACTTAATAAATCCAGTTAAATAATTGAATCTACATCAGTATTATCAATCTAAATGTGAATAAAGATTCCATTCAACAGGAAACTAGGCAGGAAAAAACATGAATACTAAACACATACACTACTGATTATCTAGTCTGGTTTTTTCCCCATCATCGTCTTGTTCAAGCTGAGCCTCCAATGGAGAGTGACTTCCCATCTTCACATACTGCCCCCTCTTGGAGGATTCAGTTTCCTTTGCCGCTTGGTCCTCATCTGTTCTCTTAATGTTGCAGGTGACCTGCAGCCGGTGTTTGGTCTTCTCTACCTATGTTCACTCCTTGGATGAATTCATCTGGGTTCCTGGCTTTAAACGTCATCTCTATGCCAGTAACTCCCAAATGCGTGCCTGCAGCCTTGTTTTGTCTCCCAAACTCTAAATGTCTACCTACCTGACCTCTACTCAGATGTGTAGTAAACATCCCAAACTTAACATGTCCAAAACTGAACACCCAACCTTCCCTCCTCAAAAATCTGCCATTGTTGCAGTCTTTCTCTCTTTCTTGTTGGCAAGTCCATTCTTCAGTCACTCTTGACATTTCTCTTCCTCTCAAATCCCACATCAAATCTTCCAGGAAATTCTGTTGGTTACCTTTGAAAAAATCTAACCAAAATCTGACCACTTCTCAAAACACAGCCACTGCTACTACTCTAGCCCATGTCACCAATATTTCTCATAAGATTGTATCAGTAGCCTCCTGAAAAAGTCCTCCACCCCAGTGTTTGTTCTCAACATAACAGCCAGAGTAACCATTGTAAAGCTGGAAGTCAAATCATGTCACACCTCTAGCTCAAAGTCCTTCAAAGGCTCCTCATTTTACTAAAAATAAAAACCAAAAATCTTACAATTACCTTTAAGTTCTGCTCCCAATTCTGGCGATGGCACCAGTGGTTCCCCCACACACACCATTCACATTCCCTCCCCATTACACATCTGACTTCATTCCCCTCTCCTCTCCCCCTTGCTCACTCTCATGTAGTTCACTCTACTCCAAACCTTTTGGTCCCTGCTGCTCTGTAAATACAGCAGACCGGCTGCCCACTTAGGGCCTTTGCTTCAGTTAAGCAGAACATGCTCTTCACTTAGATACCCATTTGGCCAACTCCCTCAGTAAGAGTTTGCCCAAATATATCACATTCTTCAGTGAGCCAACTCTGACCACCTCGTTTTCCACTGCATCACCCCCCCCCCAAGTCTTTATCGGCAACAGAGACAGTACCAATTGCCCTCTCAATGTTCTACTTTCTCTTTTTTCTGTAACATCTATCATCTTCTAAAATATGATAACATTTACTTATGTATAGACTGTCTGCCCTAATGCAGTCAATTTCACAAGAGAATAATCTTTATCAACTTGGTTCATTGTTGTTCCATTGGCATGAGAACAGCAACTGGCATATAGTAGGGCTAAATTTTGGGCCAATTTAGTGAAACAATAAAGTGCAAATGCTGTCTTCACTATAAAGTCTTCCCTGATTCCCTTGAGCCAGCAAAACAATCTCTCCCTAGAACTTCAACAGTACTATCTATAGTTCTGGTTTTTTATTTTTTTTTTAAAGATTTATTTTTATTTATTTATACAAGCACTGGGTACGGTCAGAATCGCGGGAGGGTGAGAGAATTCACCAGAGCCAGAGCGGGGAGCAGAGCAGGCAGAAGGACCGAAGTACACTGCTGAGGGGAGCAGCGGGCGGCAGGAGAGGTCTGCGCGCCATGTGGGACCCTCCTCCGGTGGCCGGGGAGCAGCCGGGGACCGAACTGGCGCTGCAGAGGCTGCGGGCAGCTTCACAACCCATTGCTCAACCGCTGCGCCACTGGGGAGGCCCAGTTCTGGTTTTTTAAAAAAACATTTTACTTTATTATTTTTTTAAAGATTTATTTATTTATGCATACAAGAACTGGGGCACAGGCCAGAGGTGCAGCTGGTGAGAGGATTCACCAGAGACGGAGCCGGGAACAGAACAGGCAGACTGACTGAAATACACTGCTGAGGGGAGCAGCAGACGAGACAGGAGAGGTTCTGCTATGCCATGTGGGTAGCTCCCTGGCCAGGGGCCGGGATCAAACTCTTGCTGCAGCAGCTGTGGACAGCTTCATAGTGCTGTGCTCAACCCCTCACGCTGCCAGGGAGGCCCCTGTTTTTTTTTTTAAGATTTTTTTTTTTAATTTATGCATACAAGAACTGGGGTGTAGGCCAGAGGTACAGGGGGTAAAAGGATTTACCAGAGACATAGTGGGGAGCAGAACTGGTGGATTAACTGAAATACATGGCTGAGGAGAGAAGCAGGCAGGACAGGAGACCCACATGCTGTGCTATGTGGGTCAGCTCCTTGACTGGGGATTGAACTCATGCCATAGTGGCTGGCGATAGCTTGATAGTGCTGAGACTTAACCCCTTGCGCCACCAGGAAGGCCCTCCATAGACCTGTTGTTAACAATGGAATTCATAAAATTCCAACTTACACTTATTTATGTCATTTCACTTCCATTCCTGGATTGCAAGCTCTTTATACTAAGATCCAAATTTTTCCCAAACACTTATTTTGACCCTCTTTTAAGTAGATGCTCAATTTCTGAGGGTTGCATGAATAAACTATGTAATTGTGAATTACATGCCATGAGTAACTATTTTTTAACTTTTTAATGTGGAAAATTCCAAATACATACAAAAATAGAAAACATGAACACGTAAACTTCATGTATTCAACATCCTACTTCAACAATTATAGCAAATCTTGCTTCAACAACCCCACTAAAATGGTTTTGCACCCCAATTCCAACATGGGAGTGGGACAGTTCCCACATATCCAAGCAATTCTTTTTTTATAAGATTTATTTATTTATGCACACAAGAACTGGGGTACAGGCCAGAGGTGCGGGCGGTGAGAGGATCCACCAGAGACAGAGTGGGGAACAGAACAGGCAGACTGACTGAAACACACTGCTGAGGGGAGCAGCAGGTGAGTCAGGAGAGGTCTGCCATGTGGGTAGCTCCTCCCTGACCGGGAATAGAACTCATGCTGGGGTGGCTGCGGTTAGCTTCATAGGTTGTATCTTAACCCCTTGCACCACCAGGGAGGCCCCCAAGCAATTCTTGAACACCATCAGAATGTCCTACAATTCAACTCAATTCTCCCACCACCTACCCTGAGATAGCATCAGACTCCAAAGGTTAGGGGTTCAGTCCCACAAGACTACCCGGCACACGCTTTTCAGCTGCCACTCTGAAGTCCACCTGGGCTTCTGACAGACTAGCTACAGCTTGAAGGCACCAATGACCCCTGCAGTTTGATTAATTTGCTAGGGTGGCTCACAGAACCCCGAGAAACATTTTACTGACTACATCACCAGTTTGTTTTAAAAAGGTTTAATTCAGGGGCAGATGGAAGAGATGCACAGAGCAAGGTATGTGGGAGAAGGGGTGGAGTTTCCATGCCTTCTCTGTGTGTACCCCATAGCTCCACTTGCTCACCAACCTAGAAACCCTCTGAACCCCATCCTTTGGGTTTTTATGGCGGTGTCTTTACAAAGGCACACTTGATTAAACATTGGCTGTGAGTGATTTAACTCAACCTCCAACCCCTCTCCACTTCCCAGAGGTCAGCCCTCTAACCGAGTGGTTGCCTTTCCAGGCAAACAGTCCCATCCTTTGAAGAGTTCCAGAAGTCATCCATTAACATAACAAGAGACACCTTTATCACTCATCACAGGAAACAGCAATGGCTTTTAGGGGCCCTGTGCTGGAAATGGGACCAAAGGCCAAATACATAGTTCTTACCATAAAATCACAATATCACACCCACACACTTACTTGTGCCTTCCCTTATATCTCAAAGCAAATCATGTCATCATTTCACACAAAACTATTCCATGCAAATATACATTTCTAAAAGATAAGGAGGTTTTTTTGTAAAATATGATCATATGCAGTTTAATATTAACTATACTACGGTACCTGCCTGTGTTTGGATTTGGCTGTTGAGTCTAGAATCAAATCAGGTTAAGACTTAATCATATCATGGGCCTCCCTGATGGCGCAGCGGTTGAGCGCTGGGTTGTGAAGCTGCCCGCAGCCTCTGCAGCACC